CGAATCGGCAATCGAATTGCGTCGAATCGAGGCCAAGAAAAACGAAAACGAGGGAAGGGCAGCGGTATCGATACTGCTGGCTCGCGTCGCGATGTCGCGGGCGTTGCTTTCCGACGCCGCGTGGATCGCTCCACCTGGAACGATCGCGGCTCTCCTCCTCGCGCAGATCGCTCGACATCGCCCGATCCTGGGCCACTGGCGGCGCTGCACCTTGCACGCCCGCGCTGGCGCCGCCGCCGCGTCAGCTCGCCATCGCGCGGACGTCCGGTCCGCCGTGCACTCGTCGACCTCGGGCGCCGCTCCTCTCCCCCGGGGGGAGCCTCAAGAGCCGTGCCTCCCCGAGGGCCCCCGCCGAGGAAGAGCGCACGCGCCCGAGCGACGCCAAGTCGGCGCGGCGCGAGCCTGCCGCACCCCTCCCCACAGCCTTCGGTCGGCCACGTCCTCCCCGACGGGCAAGGAGCGGAAGCACAGCCGAGCCATATCGCCCCCCGGACTGTCTTGTTTTTACTATATATCTTGCACTGCTCCTCCGCAGAGAGGCGCGTGCCCACACGCTTGGCCCCCTCCTCCGGCCTCCGGCGGCGCGGCGGGCTCGGCCCCCGGGCCGCCGAGCGCCTCGCGGGCCTCGAGGCGGGCCTCGCGCGCGCGGAGCGCGCGGCGCCGCCGGATCGGGAAGTCGCGGCCGTACTTGCCTCGGGTGGGGCGTGTCCCTGCCAACAGGCGGGTGCGGAGGCTGCACGAAAGCAAAAAAGCCGTGCCCCGTCCTGCTTCTGGCTATTTGAGAACTTTCCTCCTCTGGAGGGACATGCCCGACTCAGACCCTGCCTCGCGGCCACGCCGCGGGCGTGACCCCCGCGGCGCGAGCAGGAGGTCGGCCGCAGTTGAGTGTGTCCCGCGGGTCAGCGTTGCTGGGGGGGCACCGCGTCAAGACGGGAGGCGGCGCCACTGCACTCGGCACATTCCTACGTCAAGACGTTTGGCGGCGACACTTCGCTCGTCGAGACTTTCGGGGGCGATCCTTCCCAACGACACACTGTGCTTCATTGCCTGTTCGCGATGTTCTGAGGCAAAACCTCCACTCCTCACGACACACCTCGGGGCCATAGCACCCGCCCCGACGTCCAAATATATAGCCTCGGGGCCACGCGCCGCCTCCCCACCGCCTCCCTCGGGCGGGAGGCAGCGGAGACCCGCATCGAGTCTGCGAACAGACACGACCAGCTTGGGAGCACATCCCCTCAGACCCCCTTCGCGTCGTGACTTTTTCACCACCTCGACCCCCCGAGGTCGGTTTCTCGTCGTGGGTCGCTCTTGGACGGTCCCGAGGCCCGGTAGACGGGCCCCTGGAGGCCGAGAATGGCGAAACACCTCCCGCCTGGGTCCACTCTGCGGTCGATCCCCCTGCTCGAACGGCGGCCAGGCGCGTGCTCTGGTGCGCGGCCTCACCGGCTCTTCCGGAGGGCCCCGAGGTCCTCTTCTCGGCGGCGAGCCAGGGGGGAAGGTGAGGAGGAGGAGGAGGAGGAGGAGGAGGAGGAGGAGGAGGAGGAGGAGGAGGAGGAGGAGAAAGAGAAGGCCCTCCCAGAAGGCGGCGAAATTTCTCAGAAGGCCTCCGGCCTTCTACGAGACATTCCGTGTCGCTCTTCGGGAGAAAGGCGTGCAGAAACTGCTCAGCAGGCCTCGAGGCCTTCCGAGCCCTCTGAGAAGGCCTGCCCCCCCGGGCTCGCCGCCGATCTCCGCCGCCCTCGGGATCTCCCATAAGGCCCTCCCTGGGGCCCCCGGGGCCGTCAGAAGAGGGCCCCGGAGGGGGAGCTGTGCGCAGGAGGCATCTCTGTACACCACCACCGTGCCAGGCCAGGGCCATCCTGGCCCTGGCATGGCGTGTACGCCCTCCTGGCCGAGGCCAGGAGCGTCTATGCACCATCCTGGGGCCCAGGATGGCCCTGGCCTGGCACGGTGGTGGTGTGTAGATGCCTTCGTCGGAAGCTGGTCCCTGGGGGATGGCGAAGAAACTGCACGGGCATGAACTTTCGGAGCTCCGCGCGGACTTCTCGGATCGGCGCTGGGTCCCCCTGGCGGCGCCTCAGGCGCCGCGCCCGACTCCAGATCCCCCCTGCTTTGTCGATCTCGCAAGTTGGGCAGAAATACCCGTCCTACTTTTCAAACTCCTGCGGTGTCGATGTCCGCCCTACTTTGCCGTCGCCATTTCTGCCATCCTTTGGCGAAAACATCCGCCCTACTTTTTCGAGGCGGAAATTTCCGCCCGTTTTCGTATCGTTCGGTGTGGATTCCCGACACACATGTGAGGAATATAACCAACCAAAGTACGGCTGATCCGGAGCCAAGGAGGAGCCAACTCTGGTGCGCGGCTTGGGCATCAGTGCGCGATGCGACCGCAGCGCAGCGGCCTGCGCGGACTCCCCTGACATCGTTTTCGCTTTTTGGGCCTCCTGGGAGACCCTCGTCGCCACTGCTGGATTCGCCTCGAAATCGTGGTCAGAACGCACCCCGGGAGAGGCCCGAGCAGCAGCGACACCGATACCTGCATGTGTCTCCCCAGGCCGACCTAGCGAGATCTGGGCGTTGCGACTTTTCCACGCTGGGCGTGGTCGCCCCCCGCTTCGGGCCCCGCGACCACCACAGATCGACCCAGCTCCCCGGATCCCTGCGTCGTGCATTCTGCACAACGCCGACCCCCAGAGGTCTGGGCCCCTTCCCCGGGACCGGTTTCTCGTCCCGAGCTGTCGGCGGTCCCGAGGCCCCGTATAGGGGCCCCCGGAGGCTCACAATAGCAAGAAACCTGCCGTCGTGATTTTTTCGCAGCGCGAGGGGGTCTGGGTCGAGAAACGCAGCAGAAAGATAGGGTCTCGGGCTCCGGTGGGGATTCTTCGCGAGGCCGCCTTTCTTTCGGAGAGACGTAGGACTCGGGTACGGGGGACTCGGGTTGGCCTGACAGGGACATCATAAAAACGACGAAACCCAATCTGAAACTTGACGCGAACTTCCGCTGCCAAACATCCCACGAAAACTGGACCGGCAAAATCCAGGACGCGCTTGTCAAAAAACGTTGGCAAACCCGAGTTCCGGCTTACTCGAGTCTTACGTACCGTCGGACCCCAGGGGATGCGACGGTCGAGGGAACAAGCTTAAGCAACACTGCCCCCCTCCCCCGAAAGCCAAAGTTGGAACGTGTACGCATCACTGGTCTGACACTCAAGCTCGGGAGATCCGAGCCCAGCATTGCATTCGGGGGGACAGTAGATGGACAAAATATTCGAACCCTTACACATTCAATGGAGATTCTAAACCACCCCCGCGCCCCCGACACCAATGTTGATCTCAGTAAAGGCGGTGCTTTGGGGCTCGAATACTTCTGTCCACTCACGCCCCTCCCCGTCGCCACGCCATCAATATTAATTCGCCGGCCCAACGGGCCAGGGCGTGCTAAGATCTCCGGTACCTGGTTAACAGTATTTCTAGTTCGCGCGCGCGGGGCGGCCCCTGGGGGTCCCCGGACGAAAAGTACCCCGGCAAGGTCCCGGCAAGTCCCCGGCAAGGTCGGGCCAGAGATGCCGGAGCCCTGTTACAGGGCCCCAGGACGGGCCAAGAGGTCCCCAAGAAGCCTCCAAGACGGTCCAAGAGGGCCCCGAGACGGCCAAAGATCGCCCGAAGACGCCCAACAGGGCCCCAAGACAGCCCAAGAGGCCTCCAAGACGCCCCAAGGGCCTTCCAAGAGGCCTCCGAAGAGGGCCCCAAGAGGCCAAAATCGTTGATTTTCATTGTTTGTTTTGTTTTTTGCGTTCTGGCTTTTTCGGCTTCCGGACGCTCCAAGACGGCCCAAGAGGCCCCCAAGACCGCTCCAAGACGGCCCACGAGGCTCCCAAGACGGCCCCGGAACGGCCCAGGAGGGCCCCCAAGACGGCCCAAGTGCCGCCCAAGACGGACCAAGAGGCCCCAAGACGGGCCCAAGAGGGGCTCAAGAGGGGAACCGAGAACTGAAAAATCGAGCCCTCCGCCCCAGAAGGCGCCCAGGAGGCCCCAAAAAGGCCCCAAGAGGCCCCCAAGAGGCCCCCAAGACGCCCCAAGAGGCGCCCAAGAGGCCCAAAAGAGGCCCCAAGAGGCCCAAAAACGGCCCCCAAGAGGCCCCAAAACTCGGCTAGCCCACAACGGTGCGACAATATGGGCCGGCGGAATGAGCGAAGCGATTAAATTTCTGCGGGTCTGGGGGGCATCTTGGGCCACAGGGTTCGAATAGAATGTCCATGTACGGGAGGGGGGAGTTCACACCGTATGCTATGCGCGAGTGTTGCTCAGTCACTTGTTCCTGACACCTGGAGGGCAGCGGCCTGCGCGGCTTGGGTTCGCCCCCAGCCCCCCCCCCCCCCGGGAGGGCTGCGCGAGGTATGGGCGCGCCCTGCCCCAACGGGCCGGGGGAGGGGTCGAGGGTCGCGGATTGATCGGCGACGCCTGTAGGCCAAAATCGAGGGATCGAGGGATCGAGAATCGATCGATCGAGATCGAGGAAGATCGAGGATCGAGATTCGATGGATCGAGATCGATCGAGGGATCGAGGAAGGTCGAGGGTGCCCCATCCCCCCGAAAGCCGAGCACGAGAGGCCGCTCCAGCGGAGGGGCGCCCCTGCAGTCTTGGCCCCGCGGCTCGCCGTACCAGTCGGGGCTCCAGCTCCGGCGGCTGAAGAAATCCCGCTGGCGCCGGCGCCCGTTGCGGCCGCTCATCGGCGGCGAGCGAGGGGGGGGAGGTGAGAAGAAGGAAGAGGGAGGAGGAGGAGGAGGAGGAGGAGGAGGAGGAGGAGGAGGAGGAGGAAGAGGAGGAAGAGGAGGAGGAGGAGGAGGCCTTCCCAGAAAGCGGCGGGACTTCTCAAGAGCCCTCGCGCCTCCGAGTTCTCCGCGCCTTCGGGGAAGGCTCAGAGAACTTCTCCCGAAGGCTGGGGGACTGCGAAGTCCCGCCCCTTCTCGCTTCCCCCCCAGGCTCGCCGCCGAGCTCAGGGGGACGGGGACGAGGTAGCGGACCCTCTCTGCCGACTCCGCCTCCCTCGCGCTCGCGGCCACCGCGCCCTTCCCGAGGGGTACGCCGTAAACGCCGACGCGCATGGCGGGACCCCCGTGATCCGCAGGGGTCCCAGACCTCTCAAGTGGTGGCTTCAACCTCTATCATCGACACACACGATAAGGAATTATATCATTTTCAAAATAAGGCAGCATAGAGGGCAGTTTCACGATGTTTGAACTCGGTTGCCAGTGAAAATATCCTATTAAACACTAGGCTCGACTCGAGAACGCCTTGCTGTCACGCCCCAGAGCGTGTTCCCAAGATGGGTCGAAAAGCCTGCCCCCCGACAGGACTAAGAGCGGGGACACCGGGGACACGATAAAGGAATCGTGCTATGAGGAATCTCGGGACGCAATTTCCGTCGATCCCTCTGCGCTCCAGGGGACCACCTCCTCCGCTCGGGAGGCTGAAACACCGACCGTGGAGGCTTGAGACCCTCTGACATGGCCCTGGGGCAGGAAGCGGAGGAATCTGCACCGGAGCCCGTCTGGGGACCGGCACGCCTCGCGCAGGTCGTGGGCGACCTCGCTGGTCATGTCCGAGTTCCCCTCGAAAGTGCCGATCACCGTCCAAGCCTTGCCGCCCTCCGTTCGGGCGTGCAGCTCGTAGCGCGTCACCCACTGCTGCCACCCTCGGCCATCTGGGTTCACGACGGAGGCTCGGTGGCGCTTCGCAAACTCCCTCCTCTCCCAGCCACCTCGCCCGAGCTCCGGGCGCTCTTGCAGCCACCTCTCCCACACGTGCGGCTCTGGGTACTGCTTCACTGGCGGGAAGCGCCCCATGGTGCTGATGTCAGAGGGCCAATTCCCTAAAATCCGACGTTGCGAATATGATCGAACCACGAGCCCAGAAAGGTATATAGAAACGTAAGGCATGGCGACGTTTTCACGACATCTGATTGGGCGACGGGCAACTGCAATGCTGAATGTATCGATCTCGACGTACCGTGCCAAGGGCTGTGCTGTACTGCGCCGTGCTGAATTGCGATGTGCCTTGCCGCGATTGTGCTCTATAGCGTTGTGGATCGAGTCCCCCTTTGCATTCGAATCCTGAACCGAACTGATCTGGATCTTAAGCTCGAGCTGGGTGAGCACATGATAGCTGCCACAGAGCTTCTTGACAAGGGGACATGCCAGGGGGACGCGCCGCGAAACGTCTTCAGGGACGCGCCAGGGGTCGTGCCAGGAGACGTGCCATGGGGACGCACCGCAGCGTGCCAAAGGCATGCGCTACGGAACGTGCCAATGGACGTGCCACGGGACGGACCAGGGAACGCGCCGCGCGACGTGCCAGGGGGATTCACCATGGGACGCGCCACGGAACGTGCCAAGGAACGTGCCAGGCTGCAAGGCTGAGCGTATCGATCCTGATGTACCGTGCCAAGGGCTGTGCTATGCTGCGTCGCGCTGTATTGCAATGTGCCGTGCCGCGATTGTGCTCTATAATGTCCCTTTGCATCCGAGTCCTGACCGAACTGATCTGGATCTTAAGCTCGAGCGGCCTGGGCACATGATAGCTGCCCCAGAGCTAATTGACAAGGGGACTTGCCAGGGGGACGCGCCGCGGAACGTCTTCAGGGACGCGCCAGGGGATGTACCAAGGGACGCGTCCCATGGGGACGCGCCGCGGGACGTGCCAAGGGGACGCGCTACGGAACGGTCCAATGGACGTGCCACGGGACGCACCAGGGGACGCGCCGCGCGACGTGCCAAGGGGACTCGCCGGAGCGCGCCACACAACGTGCCATGCAACGTGCCAGGCAACGCGCCAGGGAGCGTGCCAGGGAACGCGTCCTGGAACGTGCCGCGGCACGTCCCTGACCCAGGGCCAGGACTTTTCGTAAATTACGCTGCGTCCGCTCTCCCTCAGCCACGGTCCCACGTAAACTACGGTGCGTCCGCGCTCCCAAGGCCGCGATCCCTAGTGAATTGCGCTGCGTCCGCGCTCCCAAGGCCACGTTCCACTGTAAATTACGCTGCGTCCGCGCTCCAAGGGCAGCGACCCCTCGTAAATTACACTGCGTCCGCTCTCCCTGGGCCACGATCCATTGTAAATTGCGCTACGTCCGCGCTCCCAGGGCCGCGCTCCTTTGTGAATTACACTGCGTCCGCGCTCCCAGGGCGGCGCTCCCTCATGAATTGCGCTGCGCCCGCGCTCCCAGGGCGGCGCCCCCTCATGCATTACGCTGCGTCGGCGCTCCCAGGGCGGCGTTCCATTACGTTGCGTCCGCGATTCCTGGGCCACGATCCACTTTAAATTACGCTGCGTCCGCGCTCCCAGGGCCGCGCCCCATCGTAAGTGACGCTGCGTCCGCCCTCCCAGGGCCACGATCCCTGGTAAGCTAAGTTGCGTCGTCGCTCCCAGGGCCATGATCCCGTGAAATAACGCTGCGTCCGCTCTCCCGTGGCCCCCTGGGGCATCCTTGGGCGTCCACGTTCCTGGACCCCCCCAAACCGAGCGTTTCGCTCAAAGCATCCTCAACCAATTATGCAAGACATGCGTTTCGCTCGATATATCCGCAACAAACGAACATGCTTGAGTTACCCTGTGTTTTACCGATCGGAATTTCAAAACACCGCGCTTCGCTCAGGACATCCGCACATTCTAATTCGCCGGCCCGTCTCGACCTCGCTTCATCGCACAAAATCACAACAGAAAAATCGCGGGCTCGTCCCAAGTCAATTCCGGAAGGTAAACCTACTAAAAGAAAACCTGGGCCCAAATCTTTTCCGGGAGCGTGATCGACCCACGAACCCGGAAAATAATGTAGAAACGTAAAACATGGCAGCGTTTACACAAAAAATGATTGGGCGACGGGCAAGTGCAACGCTGAATGGATCGATCTTGATGTACCGCGCCGAGGGCTGTGCTGCGCTGAACCGTGCTGAATTGATATGTGCTATGCCGCGAGTGTGCTCTATAGCGTTGTGGACCGAATCATCCTTTGCATCCGAGTCCTGACCCAACTGATATGGATCTTAAGCTCGAGCTGTCTGAGCACATGATAGCTGCCCCAGAGCTAATTGCAAGGGGGACATGCCTGGATGACGCGCCGCGGAACGTCTTAAGGGACGCGCCAGGGGACGCACCAGGGGACGTGCCATGGGGACGCACCGCGGGACGTGCCAAGGAAACGAAACGCGCCAGTGGACGTGCCACGGGACGTACCAGGGGACGCGCCGCGCGACGTGCCAGGGGGACTCGCCACGGGACGCGCCACGTAACATGCCAAGGAACGCGCCAGGTTACAATGCTGAGTGCATTGGTCTTGATGTATCGTGCCAAGGGTTGTGCTGCGTTGCGCCGTGCTGAATTGATATGTGCCATGCCGCGACTGTGCTCGATATAGCTTCGTGGACCGAGTCATCCTTTGCATCCGAGTCCTGACAGAACTGATATGGATCTTATGCTCGAGTTGCCTGAGCACAGGATAGCTGCCCCAGAGCTAGTTGACAGGGGGACATGCCAAGGGGACGCGCCGCGGAACGTCTGAAGGGACGCGCCAAGGGGCGCGCCAAGAGACGCGCCATGGGGACACATCGCGGGACGTGCCAAGGGGACGCGCTACGGAACGCGCCAATGGACGCGCCGCGGGACGTGCCAATGGACGCGCCGCGCGACGTGCAAGGGGGCTCGCCACGGGACGCGCCTGACCCAAGGCCAGGCTCCATAACGAATTACGCTGCGTCCGCACTCCCAAGGCCACGATTCATTGTAAATGACACTGCGTCCGCGCTCCCAGGGCCACGATCCCCAGCAAATTACTTTGCGCACGCTCTCCCTGGGCCAGGATCCCTCTTAAATTACGCTGCGTCTGCGCTCCCAGGGCCGCGGCCCTTTGTGAACTACGCTGCGCCCGCGCTCCCAGGGCCAAGTTCCCTAGTAAATGACATTGTGTCCGCCCCCCAAGGATCACGATCCATCGTGCATCGCGCTGCGTCCACGCTCCCAGGGCCACGACCCATCGTAAATTGCACTGCGTCCGCGCTCCCTGGGCCACGATGCGATGAAAATTGCGTTGCGCCCGCCCTCCCTGGGCCACGGTCCTTCGTAAATTGCGCCGCGCCCGCGTTTTTAGGGCCGCGTTCCTTCGTGAATTATGCGGCGGCCGCGCCCCCAAGGCCGCGTTTCCTTGTAACTTGCGCTGCGCCCGGTCTTCATGGGCCGCGCCCCCCCGTAAAATACGCTGCGCCCGAGCTCCTTTGTGAATTGTGACAGGGCTGAACCTGAACGGTGTTTTTCGTTCTCGTTTTGTTTTCGTTCTCCCTCGTCTTGTCTTCAATCCGCCTTCGACGCAAATCGAAATCGAAACGAAAACGGCCCACGAAATCACCCAACGCACCGTTTAGGTCCAGCCCTGAATTAACATGCACCCGCGTTCCCAAGGCCGCGCTCCCTAGTAAATTACACTGCGTCCGCCCCCGCAGGGCCAAGACCCCTTGTAAATTACGCTGCGTCCGCGCTCTTTTTTAGAGCTCATTGCAGGAGCGGCCGAAAGGACAGCCACTGAGCAGGATGCATAATGTCTCATTCACGCGTCAGCCAGTGTAATAAACGGTCAAAGCTTCTCACAGACGTGAGGAAAAGAAGACTTCCGAGCATTGGGAACGACCTGTCACCAACCGTCGGGGAGGACCTGATGAAAGCAACGAGCAATCGGGTCCAAGCGACGACCAGGCGCCCAGACCCTCGTCCAGGCACCCGTCAGAGAGCGAGAGGCCCCTCCAGGAACTCTCCGCGGCGTGCGGCATCACCAGTGGCGCCCGCACAAGGCGCCACCCTGGCTGTGCCCCTCCACAGCGGGAGGAGACCACCGTAGCCACCCCCACTCGCTGACTCTAGGGCTGCGCGTGGATCGATGCGTCCAGCACTTTGAGCAGCTCTTCGACGATGTCCTGCTCTTGGCAAGCTTCTCACGCTGGCTAGCGTTCACTGGCTTGCGGCCAGCCTCACCGGCCTCGATCGTTCTGATCTCGCGCAGCTGCTTGCAGAGCTTCTTGCTGCGCTTCGTGCTGAGAGCAGGGTACTCGGCCGCCATGGCAAACGCCTTGTCGATCACGTCATCGAAGGCGGGCTTCTCGGCGGCCATGGCCGAGGTCTTGTCGATCACGTCGCTGGTGGTCGTGCTGGGGGCGCCATGGATGTGCTCCATCAGCACCCCCGCCTGCGGGTCGTACGAGTAGCAGAATGATTGTCGATCCCGTCGTTGGTGGTCGAGTTGCAGTCAATGCTTTCCGTGGTGTCGCCCACGGAGCCGATGTCAAAATGCGCCGCCTCGCTGACGGGCACCTGCAAGCCCGACGTCTGCTCGAGCTTCGCGCTCAAGCGCTCCAACTGCCGTTCGATGGCCTCGATCTTGGTGCCGATGATGCCCTCGTAGCCGGGCTCGTTCTCCTCCTTCGCGGGCACGCCGTCGAAGACCTTGTGAATGTCCTCCTGCAGGAAGACGTCTGGGCGGCCAGCCACATTCCGCAGCTGGCTGATCTTTCCCAGGCGCGATGCCAACTGGCCCGCACCCTTGTCGCGCAGAAGCGACTTGGCCTGCGTGATGGACGGCTTCCGCTCCAGGCCTGCGCAGACCCTGATCTGATTGGGTAGCGTCTCGAACGACTCGAGAGGCTCCCAACCGGCAGCGCCTGCGTCTTCACCAGGGGCTGCACCACTGGCGCTACCCTGGACTGCGCCTCGCGCCGCCGCTGCAACTGCGCTGTGCAGCTGCTTGCCCTCGAACTTGGCCACCTTGAAGCCGAGTACGGCCCCAAACATGACCTGCGCCGCCGAGGGGAGGTTCCCCGCCATGGCGCTTGCAAACCCCAGATCCATGGAGTCAATCCGCGGCCGACTCCTGCCCAATGGCATGAGCCAACATGGCTACGTAGCTGCGGCCGCGCTCCCAGGGCCACGATCCATAGTAAATTACACTGCGTCCGCGCTCACAAGGTCGCGCTCCTGTGTAAATTACGCTGCGTCTGCGCTCCCTGGGCCACGGTCCCTCGTAAACTACGCTGCGTCCACGCTCCCAGGGCTGCGCTCCCTGGTGAATTACGCTGCGTCCGCGCTCCCAGGGCCACGTCCCTTAGTGAATTACGCTGCGTTCGGCCTCCCAAAACCACCTGGGCATCCTGGGGCGCCCAGGCCGCTCGAGTTCTGCAAAACAAGCGTTTCGCTCGAGACATCCTCGAAGCGTCTCGCTGGAGACATCCTCAAGACCTGGGCATGTGAAAACAAGCATTTCACCTGAGATATCCTGTGAATTCTGGTCCCCAGGAGAGGAATCTATAGCACCAAACAAACGTTTCGCTTGAGACATCCTCAGGCAAATTATACAAAACAAGCGTTTCGTTCAAGACACCCGCAACATACGAAAATGCTTACATTACTCTTTATTTGAACGATCGGAATTTCAAAAACCAGCGTTTCGCTCGGGACTGTCTCAATTTCTACTTCGCCGGCCCCCTTCGACCTCGTTATTTCTCGCACATGATTCCGCCGGCTCGTCTCAAGTCGTCCCCGATGGAAAATCCTCAAAAAGAGAACCCTGGGCCGAAGTCCTTTCCAGGAAAAAATGCAACATCGGAAACAAAACACGACCAGAGCCCTAGACCTAATTTTTCTGCGGGATTTGTCAAGCTGGGTCGATCTATGATGGTCCCGTCCCACATCTCTCCGCGAAACTCAGCGCAGGTTTTTCTCGGTCCGTGTCATTGAAATTGGGGGCGAGGGGGGGTCTGCAAAGTTCCGCGGAGGGTTGCAAAGCCGTGGGTACGATCGAAGACGAAGAGGGCGGGTACCGAGGGTTCGGGGTAAACATGCTGAATGAAACGCGAGCAACCGACAGCGAGCAATCTTCATCTGATTGTTGTTGTTGTTGTTGCTGCTGTTGCTGTTGTTGTTGGTGCTGGTGCTGGTGTTGGTGTTGGTATGTGTTGGTGTTGTTGCTGCTGTTGTAATCGTTGTTGTCTTTGTTGTCGTTGTCGTTGTTGCTGTCGTTGTTGTTGTTGGTGTTGTTGTCGGCGTTGGTGTCGAACTCTCATTTCGGAAGCAAAATTACGCTGCCGAGGAACCCCACATTATTGCCATATCATGGGGTGGTGATGGCTGAAATTAAGCATGTGACAATGATGTTGGTGGCCGTTTCCCCGCCGATACCGCAAGGACGACCGTCACGGATAGCGGCCGCGCTCAGGGACCACCCCGTGCGCACCCCCTGTGGTGTCGAGAAAACGCCACGCCCTGTGCCCTGGACGACCGTCACGGATAGCGGCCGCGTTCAGGGACCATCCCGTGCGCACCCCCTATGGTGTCAAGACAACGCCACGCCTGCTGTGCCCTGGACGACCGTCACGGATAGCGGCCGCGCTCAGGGACCACCCCGTGCGCACCCCCTGTGATGTCGAGAAAACGCCACGCCTGCTGTGCCCTGGACGACCGTCACGGATAGCGGCCGCGCTCAGGGACCACCCCATGCGCACCCCCTTGTGGTGTCGAGAAAACGCCACGCCTGCTGTGCCCTGGACGACCGTCACGGATAGCGGCCGCGCTCAGGGACCACTCCGTGCGCACCCCCTGTGGTGCCGAGAAAACGCCACGCCTGCTGTGCCCTGGACGACCGTCACGGATAGCGGCCGCGCTCAGGGACCATCCCGTGCGCACCCCCTATGGTGTCAAGACAACGCCATGCCTGCTGTGCCCTGGACGACCGTCATGGATAGCGACCGCGCTCAGGGACCACCCCGTGCGCACCCCCTGTGGTGTCGAGAAAACGCCACGCCTGCTGTGCCCTGGACGACCGTCACGGATAGCGGCCGCGCTCAGGGACCACCCCATGCGCACCCCCTTGTGGTGTCGAGAAAACGCCACGCCTCCTGTGCCCTGGACGACCGTCACGGGTAGCGGCCGCGCTCAGGGACCACCCCGTGCGCACCCCCTGTGGTGTCGAGAAAACGCTACGCCTGCTGTGCTGTGCTGTGCTGTGCTGAACTGTGCTGAGCTGTGCTGTGCTGAGCAGTGCTGTGCTGTGCTGTGCTGCGCTGTGTGAGACAGGGACGAGGGAGGTGAGGGAGACGCGGGTGCGACGAGGCAGAGAAGAAAACCATAACCCCACTACGCATGTGGGGGATTATTGCTGATCCCCCCATCACCGGTGCAAGCTGTTTTTTCTCAATCAAATTGTGCCCCTCGACGCTCGCACCCTACTTTTGGACAGGGAAAATATTCGTGCTCAAACTGGGCCCCTGGCCCCCCGGATCACAATAACAACGGCTCCCGTGTGAGAGCTCCTCCAAATTTACTGAGGACCCGCGCTCCTGAGACTTCCCCACAATTTACTCAGGATCGGTGTTCCCGCCTATGACTTCCTCGCAATTTAATCAGGGCCCCCGCTCCCATCTGAAACTTCCTCACAATTTACTCAGGAACGGCGCTCCCGTTTGAGACTTCCTCACGATTGAATCAAGATCTTGCGCAATTTAATCAAGACCCCCGCTCCCGCCAGAGAACCCTCACATGTTATTCAAGAATTGCGCTCTCGCCTGTGACTTCCATGCAATGTATTCAGACATCGCGCTTTCGACGCTCAGGAAACACGCTGCGACAAGGACGCCGTCACAATGTACTTAATAATCGCGCTCTCGCCGTACTCAAGCATCCCACCCGCCCGACCAGCCCGTCAGGGGATCGCCCGCCCGTCGTGGACTCCCGCCCGAAACCTCCTTCAGGAACGGCGCTTTCGCCTAGGAGTTCCTCGAACGTTCACGTTCGTACCTTCCTGCTCCTCCTCCCTCTCCCTCCTCCCTTCTCCCTCCTCTCCTCCCTTCTCTCTCCCTCCTCTCTTCCCTCATCATTATGCCTTTCTGCCGTCTCCCCTCTCCTCTCCCTCCTCCCTTCTCCCTCCCATCTCCTGCCTCCTCCCTCCCTCTTTCTTGTTCTCTCTCTCTCTCTCTCTCTCTCTTTCTCTCCCCTCTCTCTCTCTCTCTTTCCCTACCTCTCTTATATGTATTTGTTTTTTTGTTCTCTCTCTCTCTCTCTCTCTCTCTCTCTGCCTCTAATCAACCGCCCCCCTCTTCGCTCCTTCTCTCCTGGCTTTTTCCCTCTTCCTTCGTCCCTCCCCCTCCCTTCCTCCCACTCTCCCTCGTTTTCCCCCTCCTCTTTTTGCAAGGCCCACACCAATTCCAATGGCGGGCACATGTACGCCCACGAAGGATTGTCCGCCCGTTCAGGTTTGCCCGCCTGTCTAAGCCCGCCGCCCTCCGCAAAGAGAACGAATCCCCCCAAAGGGGGTGTGATCGAAGACAAACAGGGCGGGTATCGAGGGTGTGGGGAACTCGTTTTGAATGACACACGGGCAAGTAAGAGCGAACAGTCTTAGAATGACTCGTGCTGTTGTTGCTGCTGTTGTTGTTGTTGGTGGTGGTGGGGGGGGTTCTGGAGGCCTCTGGGGACCTGGGCCACCTCTGGGGACCTCAAGGGGGCTTCGGAGATTTCCAGGCGTCAAACTGCCAGGTGTGACCATCATCGACCCACGACTCCGGAAAGGAATATAGAAATGTAAGGCGTGGCAGCGTTTTCAAAGACACCTGAGCGGGCGGCGGGCAATTGCAGTGCTGAGTGTATCGATCTTGACGCACCGTGCCAAGGGCTGTGCTGCGCTGCGCCGTGCTGAATTGCGATGTGCCATGCCGCGATTGTGCTCTATAGCCTGGTGGATCGAGTCATCCTTTGCATCCGAGTCCTGACTGATCTGGATCTTAAGCTCGAGCTGCCTGAGCACACAGGAGCTGCCCCAGAGCTAATTGACAGGGGGTCATTCCAGGGGGACGCGCCGCGGAACGTCCCAAGGGACGCGCCAAGGGACGCGCCAACGGACGTGCCATGGGGACGCAACGCGGGACGTGCCAAAAGGGACGCACTACGGAATGTACCAATGGACGTGCCACGGGACGCGCCAGGGGACGCGCCGCGTGACGTGCCAAGGGGACTCGCCATGGGACGCGCCACGGAACGTGCCAAGTTGGAAGACTAAATGTATCGATCTTGATGTACCGTGCCAAGGGCTGTGCTGCGCTGCGCCGTGCTGAATCGAGATGTGCCATGCCGCGATTGTGCTCTATAGCGTTGTGGATCGACTCCTCCTTTGCATTCGAGTCCTGACCGAACTGATCTGGATCGTAAGCTCGAGCTGCCTGAGCACTTAGTAGCTGCCCCAGAGCTAATTGACAGGGGGTCATGCCAGGGGGACGCGCCGCGGAACGTCCCAAGGGACGCGCCAAGGGACGCGCCAACGGACGTGCCATGGGGACGCAACGCGGGACATGCCAAGGGGACGCGCTACGGAACGTGCCAATGGACGTGCCACGGGACGTGCCAAGGGAAGCTCCGCGCGACGTGCAAGGGGAACTCGCCACGGGACGCGCGACGGAACGTGCCAGGGAACGTGCCAGGCGACGCGCCAGGGAACGTGCCAGGGAACGCGTCAGGGGACGTGCCGCGGGACGTCCCTGACCCATGGCCAGGATCCATCGTAAATTACGCTGCGTCCGCGCTTCCAGGGCAACGATCCCTGGTAGATTACGCTGCGTCCGCGCTCCCAGGGCCACGATCCCTCGTCAACTACGCTGCGTCCGCCCTCCCTGGGCTACACTACGCCCATGGGCGCAGCGGGCGACCCTGCGGCAGGGGGCCCGATGGGCGCAGGCAGCCCCCCCAATCCCTTCGTCCGCGGAGATGCACTCCGCGAACTCCTCGTCGTCGCCGAGGGCGCCGCCGCCGTAGGTGTCCCGACTTACGTCTGCCACATCACGGCCTTCGTCGTCGCCCATGCCCTCGTCCGCAGCTGCCCGGACATGCCTCGCCGCCTCGCCGCTCGGCGTCCCGGAGGCTCCCATGGCCGCGCTCCCTCGTGAACTACGTTGCGTCCGCGTTCCCCAGGCCACGTTCCCCAAGGCCGCGTTCCCTCGTGAATTCCGTGGGGGGCGGACACAATTTGTGTCCGCCCCCCAGGTGCCACGACCCATCGTAAACTACGCTGCGTCCGCGCTCCCAGGGCAACGATCCCTGGTAAATTACGCTGCGTCCGCGCTCCCTGGGCCACGATCCCTCGTAAAGCTACGCTGCGTCCGCGCCACCAGGGCCACGATCCCCGGCAAAACTAAGCTGCGTCCACCCTCCCAGGGCCACGACCCCTCGTAAACAGCGCTGCGTCCACACTCCCAGGCCCCCTTGGGCATCGTTGGGCGTCCAGGTTCCCGGAAGTCTCCGAGACAAGCGTTTCGCTTGAGACATCCTCAACAAAATATGTAAAACAAGAGTTTCGTTCGAGACATCCGCAACAAACGGAAATGCTGTGTTTACCCTGTGGTTTATCGGTCGGAATTAAAAAAACCAGCGTTTCGCCTGAGACATCCTCAACAAAATATGTAAAACAAGAGTTTCGTTCGAGACATCCGCAACAAACGGAAATGCTGTGTTTACCCTATGGTTTATCGGTCGGAATTTAAAAAACAGCGTTTCGCTCGGGACGTCCTCGAATTGAAATTCGCCAGCCCGTCCCGACCTCGTTCTTAATCTCGTTATTTATCGCAATTAATTTCGCCTGCCAACCTAAAGTCGTCCCCAGGGGCAAAATCTCTAAAAGAGAACCCTGGGCCAAAGCCCTGTCTGGAACAAATGCAACGCCCGGATCTCAGGTACCAGGCGGCACAAGCAGAAGCCTCCGCGGCTCAGGCGGATCTCTTGGAGTCGGCGCCGAACCCCCCCCTCCCCGCACCTGCTCTGGCGCCGACCCAGGAGATCCTTGCAGACCTGCGAAGTCGATCTACGGCCGAAACTATGATCCGGAGAACGACAGAACATCATAGTCTCAGAATTCTGGGCCAGCTTCCCAGCGGTTTCTTCGAACAAGCCTGGGCCAACTTCTGCCGTTCACGCAGGAGGGGCGAACGTGCTCAAGAAACTGGACCGGCTTACCGGCAAAAGCTGGTTAGGAAACGATGGCCCAACTTTTCGGGAGGAGGTGTTTTAATCATATGTTCGACCGTACGTATGCGCCGCTTCTGGCCCTTTGGACGTTTGTCACGCTGCAGTCCGCACCCAGGTCAACCTCCAGGTACGAGTCCGGGCCCTCCTTCCCTGATTCCAGATCCGCCGTACTTTGGTTGAGGCTGCAACTGGGTTGGACATGCATCCCGAAGGGTGCGAATCATATGGCGGACATTTCCGCCTCAGAAAGATAGGGCATATGTTTCCGCATAAGTATGGCGGAGACAGCGGCGGCAAATAATCGGCACATACGGAGCTTGAGAAGTGGGGAGGGAATTCCCGCCATGATTGCGACACGGCCCTAAATGAGCGACGAAAAGAAAGGGGTCTTACGCGAGATGGCATAGCGACCTTACGCCGTGACTTATGCGGGCCGCCACCGCGGCATGCTACATTGGAGACGAGGGCGCTTGCGCACGACCTTACGCGGGCAGCTTGCGCACGAATGTCGGCGCAGACGACCCCGTTTCTCTGCGTCGCCCAAGTGTACGGCGGATCTGGAATCCCGGGCTCGGCTGCGCGCAGGAGTGGCCCGAGGCAAGAGCATGACCCCGGGTGTGCGGCTTGCTGCCCGTCGCGTGCCGTGAGACAGCAGCGGCCCGCGTGCCCCCGGGCCGGTTCCCCCCCCCCCCCTGCCGCGCCGCCCGGAATCCGCGCACCGGAGGCCACCGCGGCAAATGGCGAAGCTCCCACGCGCAGAGCCAGGCTGGAGGAGGAGGAGGAGAAGGAGGAGAAGGAGGAGGAGGACGAGGAGGATTAGAAGTAGGAGGAAGAGAAGGAGGAGGAAGAGAATGAGGAGGAGGAGGAGGAGGAGGAGGAGGAGGAGGAGGAGGATCCTGCACCCAGCACGCCAGCTCCGACAAGTTGCGGTGGCTGCCGCCGACGGGGTAGCCCACCCTAGCTTCCCACGGCCGCAGAGGGGCGGGCCCGCGCACCCGCTCGCGGAAGGACTTCGGGAGCTCGGCGCAGCCCCTCCAACTGAGCTTCGCCCGGCGCATCTCGGAGCACGGGGCAGCGGAGACCACGGCGGCGCTCCCGCCCAGCCCGAATCCGCTCAAGATCGGCCCCGCCCTCCCCCGGGAGTGTCGAGGTCATCGTGATCGTCGTCGTGGTCGTCGTCGTTGTCTCGGTGGCGAGCGAGGGGGGAAGTGAGAAGCAGAAGACCGCGGGACTTCTCAAAGCCCTCTGGCCTGGGGTCTATCTGGACCCGCCCTTCGAGGCGGATCCAGGCGTGGTCACGAAAAGCCTCCAGGAGGCCCAGAGAGGGCGAGAAAAACGCCAGTGAGAGCCGCCGATGTTGAGAGAGAGGGGGGGGCTGGCCGACCTGGAATCGGCGATACGTCGCCGATAGATCGGCGACAGGCCCCCGATAGCAACTCCGCACGTTCCTGGGCGGGGTAGGCTATCGGGCCCCTCTCGGCGATCAATGGGCGATTGAGGGTTTATGCGTCCACCCCTGAGCATATCCCCTCCGTCCTGCTGCTCGGGGCAATCCAGGCACTCCCAGAACGCTCGCGGCGAGACGCAGCTGCTGGAACGCATCCGCTGGAACACCGCCAGTGACCGACGAACACAAATCAGAAAACCTCGAAGCTCGAATCCTCACTGAGCCGATCCCCCCCCAACATTGCCCCTGAATTTTGACCTGAGCCCTAGACCCCATCTTTCGATTCTTCGAGCCGGATCGACCTGCGGTGCAAGGGCCAGAGGCCTGGCCAGAACGCCAGGTGTGCAACCATTCTGCTTCGAACGATCTCCACCGAAAGCTTCTTCGGCGTTTGTTCCCAGCGGTGCGCGGGCCTACTGGAACGATGTGCGCGAGGCCCGGCGGTCTGGGCCAGCGAGGCGGCCGGGCCAGGTCGCAAGTTGATGCTTCCCGAAAGTCAACCAGCCCCAGGGCCCCTGACAAAAGACACCGAACAAATCCCTGGAGCGACAAACCAGCTTCCAAAACTGATCTTGCGAGACCCCAGAACTAGTTCGGAGAGAAGATGCAGCCTGTTGAAAGAGGAGGAGGAGGAGGAGGAGGAGGAGGAGCACCAGCAGCAGCAGCACGAGGAGGAGGCGGACGACGAAGGAGGAGGATGAGGAGGAGGAGGAGGAGGAGGAGGAGGCGAGGCAGACCTTTCCTTCCTTCTCCTGCTCCAGACGCCCCGTCCTCCTCTGACGACAAAGCGCATGTCGCATGTACTGAGACGCCGTGAAGTGGTGGCTGTCGTATACGTAACATGTGCTATATCATGTTCAGTTCGATTCTGCCCCAGCATGGTAGATGACATTATGTTATGGTATGTTATGTTGTGGACGGACCGGCGTGACGTCGTGACGTCTTCCACGTTTGGTATGTCTTCTAGTCGGTCGTTGCTGCTACTGTTCGTTGCTGTGGCCAGCCTGGGCTTGTAGCGCATGTCGCGTATGATAGGCCGCACGTGCTCGGCCTCTGCTAAGTTCTACTCTATCACGTTGTGTCCGGTTCTGCTCGGTTCTATGCACATATGTTTATTCCTGCCCTGCTCACGACAGGGCGACGTGACGTCGTGACGCCCGTCGCGTTTGATATGTCGTCTAATCGGTCGTTGCCGCGCCTGATTTTTCCTGTGGCCAGGCGCGGGTGCTGCGTTTGACAGTGCGCCCTTAATATGTTGCTGCTGTGCTTAAACATGCTCAATTCTGTTATGCCCGATCAGATTCTATTCTGCGATGCTACACTATGATATGGTATGTTGTCGACGGGACGACATGACGCCTGTCACGTTAGATACGTCGTCCGATCGTACGTTGCTGCGCCTGCTTGTACCTGTGACAGGGCTGACTTCGGCGTGCACGTCTCGTTTTATCATCTTGTGGTACGGCCGAATGTGTTATGAAGTTCCTCTTCAAGCTTGCGTTTCTCTTCTGTTGAGGTATTCACTTTTCTGCTCACCTTTGTCTTTGTATGACTTGTGATTGTTTGATCTGCTCTGCTCTGTGGCACCACGTCATGACATGATACGTGTGTTATGTCAGGCTAGATTTGGTTATGCTATTAGCTGTGATGCTGTTCAGGGCATGCTCAGTTCGCCATAGTACAGTATATGCAGTTACAGCCAATCATATTATATCTAAATCGTTAAAGTAGGGGGCAGCAGTGGTACAACAATTCTGCTATGGTATGCTGTTTGCGGTGTGCTCTATTCGTAAGATTATGCTGACTTGATAAGTCTCTAGTATGTTGTGCTCTAGTATGTCTGTTCTGTTCTCAGCAGGCCAGCGTGACGCCGTGACGCCTGTCACGACAAATACGTCGTCCGATCGTCGGTTGCTGCGCCTGTTTGCTCCTGTGGCCAGCCCGACCTCGGCGCGCACGTCGCGTTTGATAGTGCTGTGTAGGTTGTTGTGAGGAAATGCTTGCTCATGGTATGAAATGCGGCGACTCTGTGTTATCTGACGATGCGTGATACCATTGCGTGATATGGTATGCTATGTTATGTTATGCTATGTTCTGGTGTGCTGTCCTCTTGTCTTGTTATGTGTAGTGTTATAGCATGCTCTGTATGCTCCATGATGTCAATATATGCGTTGTTATGATATGCCCTGTTATGTCCTGTTCTGGCATGGCATGTAATGGTATGCGTTGTTACGGTATGGTGGTATGGTAGGTTATCGTACGTGATGTTATCATGTGTTATGCTGCGCTCTGTCATGGTATGATCTGTCAAAGTATGGAATATGTTGTGCGTTGATGCTGTGCTACGGTGTGATATGGTATGCCAGAGCAAATTATGCTGTGATATGTGTTGTCATGGTATGCTGAGCCGTGTTCTGCTATGTTATGCTAAGAGGTATGGTGTTCTGATCTGCTTTGTGTGATCCATTATGGCATAGCTTATGGTTTATGATATGCGATGCGCTGATATGATGTAACATATGATGCCGCGCTCTGGCATGTTATGACGTGTCATCTGTGACGCGATGATATACGTAATGTTGTATGTGGTGCGGTGCTGTGTTATGTTGTGGCGTGTTCTGGCATGGTATGTCATGTTATGGTGTAATATGTAATGTAGTGTTATGATATGCTAGGTTGTTGTATGATATGCGTGCTCCGATCGGTCATGCCATGCGTGATTATGATGTGGTGTACAATGTTACGCCATTTCATATTATGTGAGGCTGCGGCATGTTCTGTGTGGGTATACTCATGCCTGCGATGATGTATTACATGATGATTTCTTTGTCATGGTATGGACTGTTCTGCGCCATGACGTTGTGCCCAAATCTGCCTTGGTCTGTCATGGTGTTCTATGTTACGTTATGTTATGTCATGATGTGGCATGTTATGCTCTAAGATGTTATGTTAGGCGGTGTTGTGGTGTGTCATGTTATGTCATAGCTTCGAGGACTGTGGTGTACTATGTTCTGCTAGATTATGATACCGCTCTGTCATGTTATGATTTGTCGGCGCGGGGCGAGATACTCGGGGACACTCGGGAAACCTGAGGACCTGGCGGCCGAGGTATGCAGGGTGGGCGAGTTGGCGCGAGGCGGGGCACTCGGGGACACTCGGGAGACCTGGGAATCTGGTGGCCGCGAGATGCAGAGTGGCGCGAGCCGGGACACTCGGGGACACTCGGGGGACCTGGGGATCTGGCGGCCGCGTGTGCAGGGTGGACAGGTCGGGAGGTCTGTGCTTGAAATCTGACGACCCCAACCTGTCGGGTGGAGACAAAAAGACTGGAATCTCGAACACCCTGAGCAGATGCCCCCCCCCTGAACGTTGCCCCTGAGAGCGCGTTTCTTTATGTTCGGCGATGACGGGCGTCATGGGGGGGGGGGAGGGCGGGGGGGGGGTATGACGTGACGCCCCCCCCCGCCCTGTGGTTCCGGCACCACAGCCGCGCCCGCGCGCACGACGCGACGAGCGACGAACGACGAGCGACGACAACGACGCGAACAGCATGTAAGTGGCGATCTGCCCATTGCGCCTGTGTGCACCACAACGCTCGCGTGCACCACACCGCGCGTGTGCACCACAGCGCCTGCGTACACGGCAACAGCCGTGTGCAACGCACCGCCCGCGTATACCACAATACTTGGGAGCATTACAGCGCCGGTGTACATACACCGCAGCAGCCATGTGCAACACAACGCCTGTGTACACCACAGTGCTTGCGTGCACCGCAGCGCCTGTGCACGCCACAGCGCCTGTCTACACCACAGCATCCGCGTGCAACGCAGCGCTGGTGTACACCACAGCGCCTGCGTGCATAGGACAGATAGATGGAGCATGTACGTCAGGATCTGCTGCGGACAACTAAACGCCACGCCAGGAAAGTTCTGAGAATCGAATGCGACGTTTTTCCCTCCTCCCTCCTCCTCCACCTCCTCCTCCTCCTCCTCCTGCTCCTCCTCCACCTCCTCCTCCTCCTCCTCCTCCTTTTCCTCCTTCTTACCCCCTGTCGTGCAGCTTGGCGTTGCAACGCACGTGCGCATCTTAGCGTGCACCGCAGAATGGTGGATTGAATCGGTCCACTTGGTTCTCCGATGGCCAGTTTAGCTGGAGCCTCCTGGACGCAAATGAAAGTTAGGGTGATGCGGGCGGACTCGGGGGGACTCGTAGATTCCAGCGGCGCTTCCTTGTCCATGAGGAGGTGTTTTCCATTGTTTTCTCTGGAATCCACACGCGCTACATTTTGTCACAAGGATTCCATCTGAAATTCTATACACAACAATGGTGCTGTGTTGCACACGGCTGATGTGGTGCACACAGGCGCCGTGGCGTACACAGGCCCTGCAATTCACGCAGGCATTGTGGTGTACACTGGTGCTGTGTTGCGCACGGCTGATATGGTGTACGGAGGCGCTGTGGTGTACACAGGAGCCGCTGTGCCCGCAGGCACGGCGGCACAAACTGACGCTGTGTTGCACGCGGCTGCTGTGGTGTAGTGCGGCGGCGTGGTGTACACAGGCGCTGTGGTGCACGCGGGCAGTGTGATGTACACAGGCGTTGTGGTGCAGATCGCCACCCGTCCTCCGTCATTCCTAAAGCATTCCCAGGCGCCGCCGGCGCGAAACGTGACGTCATCGACCCCCTCCCCCCCAGATGATTGCCGTCATCGGCCCGGACTTAAAAACAGGCTCTAGCCGCGTCCGCGCACACGACGACGATGAGCGACGAGCGACGAACCACGAGCGACGACGACGGACGACGACGACGACGACGACGACGACGACGACGACGACGGCGACGACGACGACGCCTGCGGACCAGACACCTATGCTGATTCCTACGCGGACACCTATGCGGATCCCAATGCGCACGGCGGCAGTGCCTGGAGCGCACTGGGGGGGGGGGCGTTGCGTCATAGGGGGGGGGGGGAGCGGGGGCCATGACGCCCGTCATGCCCCAAGCAATAAAGAAACGGGCTCTGAGCTGTAGACCGGAGCCCTAGGCCCCATCTGTCTGCGGCACCTCTCGAGCCGGATCGATGATCCTAGCCATGCAAGAAGCTGAAACGTCGCATTCGAGGACAAATATTACGAATGTGTCTTGCCCAAAACGGATCAACTCATGTGCCAGTGCTCCGTCCAGATGCCCGAGGCACAGGGGCAGAGGGGAGCGGGGGGGCAGAGGGGCCGTCTTCTCTCCTCTGCCCTTCCGTCGCCCCCTCTGTCCTTCTTCCTCCGGCTGCCTCCTTCGGCCCGCTCCTGCTGCCCCTCGGGCTCCCCCCTGGGCCCCCGCTCCCCTCTGCCCCCTCCCCTGGCCCCCGCTCCCAGCGGGGTCCTTTTACCAGCGTCGCCCCCCCTTTGCCCCCGCTCCCAGGGTGGGCTCTACCACTGTTCTGTGGGGCCCGAGGCCCGGCCGAGAGCGCCAGGGGTGCAGCAGCCGCCGCGCCCTGGGCCGCGGGCAGGGAGGGCCAGGGCCGCCGCGGTCTCACCTGGCCCTCCTCCGAGCATGGACCAGGGGAACGTAGCAGGGTGGGGGTGCAGTCGGACCTGGTCCTCCTCCTCCTCCTCCTCCTCCTCCTCCTCCTCCTCCTCCTCCTCCTCCCGGCGACCCCGTCCCACCCCTTCCGCCAACGCTGCCTGCGTGCCTCCCCTCGGCCCAGCCCCTCCTGGAGAGACTCGGAAGTCGTCCCCTGAGCACCGCAGGCCCGTTGATCAGAACGTGAGCCCGCGAGAGGTGTCAATCTTGGACTGGGGCCTCGCACTCTACGCTCGGACGCCGGCGGCCTCGGCGGCCCCCCCCCCCCCCGGAGCGGTTCAGCGCGCGCCGCAAGCCTTCAAGACGCGCAGGTCGCCTGGACGTCTGTCACAGGACGACTCGTGCACAGTCGGACCTGGGCCAGCAGAGCATCCTTCAAGAGCATGAGGCCCTCCGTCGGCCAAAACCAGCGGAACGTCCAAGGGTGCCTCCCCAGGATGCACGAGAGCATCCAACAGGCACGAAGAGCACGAGGGTATCCTCCGCGAACCGACCTCGACCTTGTACTTCGGTCCGACTGTAGGTGCAGAGATGGGGCTGGGATGGACAACTCGCTCCAAACGGCTCCTGGAAAAAGGCAATGTGGGCATCCAGCGGGGTCCGTTCCCTGACCGACCCAACCTTGGGATGATCCTTCTCCAGGGAAGGCCTTGGCGAGGGCGTGGAGGGCACACGGTCGAGCGGTCGAGGCCGATGATAGGGATGGGCAGCCTCCCCGAGGGTAACCCTGCAGTCTTGCCTCTTCGGTCCACCCTTCACTCTTTCTTCGACGGCCAGCCCCTCTCGAAGAGCCTCGACATCCGCGTCCGAGTGGCTTGCATTGGGACGCACAAAGACATACTAGTACTAGATGTTCTCCTTGGAGGTGCGCGTCCGACCCAAACATATATTATACCCATCTTGTAGCATATCGTTTCCCGAGCGGTGTGGCCAGAAAGCCCCGGCCACGACGCATATACCAATTATAAGATTTCTCGGTGCGCGCATCGCCCCCCGGGGGGCGACGCACATATAGTATCAGCATGTTGGGGTGACGCCGACGCATCCTTACCGGGGATCCTTACTATCCACCCCTCTACGCACCCCCGACATGAGCGTCTGCTCCATCACGTCCTCGGGCGGGCCCGGCGCCAGCAGCGCGAGCGCGGCTGGGAGGGCGTCGGGCTCCTGCCGCCTCTGGGGGCCTCCCACGTGGGGTCCGATCAGGCCTCGGAAGAAATCAGCGAACACTCATGCCGCATTCGGTTGCCAGTGCCCCCCCGTAGTGATGAGTATTGGCGGTGGGTTGAATGCGCTGCCCTTCGACCGCAGGTCTTCCCCGCGCGCGCCAACTCTGAATCTGGGGGAGAGGGGGAGTGTCCACCAGTTGTTTCCTTCTACTGGAGCAGACGGGGTCGGCGGATCGGGCCGCATCGCCGATGCATCGGCGGCAAGCCCTAAAACACTCCGCGGAACTGAAGGCAAGTTTCCCCCCCCCCACGCCCCCCATTTCAATGTTCGTTTGCGCGCGCGGGACGGTTGGCGGACACCGACGAAAACGTTGCAGTCATTTGTTTCGGCATCAACACTGAAATCAATTGAAATTTTTGGGGCCGACGCGGCGCGGGAAAAACTCGCGCCAGAGATCGGCGGCGAGCCCTACTCATGACCTCGCTGGGGAAGCACGCCAGATCTGGAGTCGGTGGGGGGGGAGGGGGAGCGCACGGAGGCAGAGGGGAGAGGGGGCGGGCCTTCTGACAAGGCCTGCCCTGGGCCCGCCAGCCGAGTGGAGGAAGCTGGCCTCCACGTCGAGCCGCCACGCCGATGCATCGGCGATGCGGCGCGGTCCTCCGACCCCGCCTGCTCGGATCCCCTCTTGGAGACTCTGGCGCCTCGGGGCCCCCAGCAGGGGCACCTTCTCGCTCGCCGCGGGGGGCTGCTCGTGGGCGCGCGTGCCCGCGGGGGCGAGCTCGAAGACGCGGAGGGCGAAGCCTGCCGGGGCCCCGCAGACCCGCATCGCCGACGGCGTGGTCTGTCCCACCGGCGCTCTTTTTTTCCTCGAGGTCGGCCCCCAGGGGCCGTCTCTGGGCCCTAGGGCAGACAAACATAGATTCGGGATGCTGAGGCTGCAATCCTATCTGCGGCTGCCTGCCACGCTGGGACGCTGCCGCAACCGAGAGACCTGCAGCCGCGGGCTGGAGCTGGATCCGGCAAAGGCCCAGCTTGCAGTGGATCCTGGCTCCTGTAGCATGAAGGAAGTTGGTCCTTTGGGGGAAACGTGTCCTGGACCCTGGAGCCTTCCCCCCAGGACCATTTCCTCCTCATCCTGGGCCGTTCTCTGACGACATCTTGGAGCCAGTGGAGGACCCCAGGAAACCCCAAACGGCGAAAAACATCTGGAGCCCCTCAGGGCCTGCGTTTCTATCATGGCAAGTTTTCGGTGCCTTGGAGGGGAAGGAAGAAGAGGAGGAGGAGGAGGAGGAGGAGGAGGAGCAGGAAAAGGAGGAGAGAAGAGGAGTAGGGGGGGAGGAGGGGGCTGAGGGGGATGAGGATGAGGAGGAGGAGGAAAGAAGGAAGGAAGGAAGGAAGGAAGGAAGAAATGAGGATGAGGAGGACCAGTGTAAACCTAAGAATCATCAACGATCTTGAAATAAACCCTCCCGCGAAGCTCCCGCTCCATAGGCCACTACGACGGTTCATTCCCCCTGGGGGACCTGCCTCGTTGGAAGACAACCGTTTGAAGACTCTGGAGCATGGCAAAACATTGTTCTCGGGATTCCAACGCCACGGATCAATTTGACTGTTGCGTCTTGACGATCCTGATTCGCGCCAGAACGCCGTTCCTGGGACTTCAACACCGCTAATCAATGTAAATGATGCACCCTCATAATCCTAAGCCCTTCCCCCTTCCAAAACACAAATTATGGTAAGCTGATCATGGGAATCCGTGTTTTTTTTTTTTTTGCAAATTTCAAAAACGAGCGTGCGCGGCGCTAAAGCGAGAACCACATGTTGAAAAAGAACCGCCCTCAATCCGTGAAGCTCTTGCTAATGTTTAAAACGAATGTGCACGGCGCTAAAGCGAGAACCACATGTTGAAAACGATTCGCCTTCAATCCGTGAAACCCTTGCAAAGTTCTAAAACGAATGTGCGCGGCGCTGAGGCGAGAGTCACATTTTGAAAACGGCCAGCCCTCCATCTGTGAAGCTGTTGCCATTTTTGACGCTTCAGGGTCAGAAGTGGTGAGGAAGTCTCAGGCGAAATGTCTGGCCCGCCCTAAAACATTGCCTTGGGCTGCGACAGGGAGACATTATTTATAAGGAAAAGCAATCGCGGAGGAGGAGGAAGATGACGAGGAGGAGGAGGAGGAAGAAGATGAGGGATGAGAGGAGGGGGAGGAGGAGGAGGAGGACGAGGACCTCGGAGGAGCCTGGATGGTCGGGGTGCCGCTTGATGGACGAAGCCACGCACAGTCGCTCCAGGACGTCGCACAGCTCCTCAGCCACACCGCTCTTCACGGGCACGCTCGTCAGGAGCTCCGGGCGGGCGATGCCCTCCAGGTCCAGCCTGGAGAGCACGACGCCGTCCTCCGTCTCGGGCCGCTCGACGACCATCTCCAGGCCGCTCGGGTCCTGTAGAAGAGCAAGAAGCGGCACATAAGCATAAACTTTCGGAGATCCGCGCGGGTTTCCTGGATCGGCGCTGGACACCCCTCACTGGCTCGCGGAGCGTGCCATGGGCGAAATCCGTGCGGAGCTCCGAAAATCACTGCTTACGCAATTTTCCCTTCATTCGATCCTCGCAGCCGAAGACATTCTGCGATCGGGTCGCCGTGCGGCCCTGCAGGCAGCCGAACCTCCTCTCCGGGTCGAAGCGCATCCCTCGACGCTCGAACTTCATGTGTTTTTCCTGCTTGGGGGGCGCCAACTTATCCACACCCCTGGTCCAAGCAATATCCAAATATATGAGAGAGCGTGATCCACCGCCGCTTTACTGTGGAAAATTGCCAACCTTTTCCTCCGGAACCCGGGGGTCGCCCCCCCCCCCCCCCCCTCCGAAAATCCCCCCCCCCTGCTGGAACCCCTCCCCCCCCCCACCCCCCCCTTCCCCCGGCAAAACCCCCCCCTCCCCTAACCCCTCCCCCCCCACCCCCCCCCCCCACCCCCCCCCCCCCCCCTCCCCTCGAAAACAGGGGGGGTTCACTACCGGTTCGAAAACCCTCCCCCCCCCCCCCCCCTCCGGATCCGGAAAACCGGGGGGGGTCACTACCGGTTCGAACCCCCCCCCCCCCCCCCCCCCCCCCCCCCACCACCAGCAAACACACCACCACCGTCCGCATCACATCCCCCACTGGTGTTCCCAGCACCACTGTCCTCACCACCGCTGTCCCCACTGGTTCCACCACCGCCCCTACTGTCCCCACCAGTGGCCCCACCACTGTCGCACTGTCCCCACTGTTCCCACTGTTCCCACAACTGTTCCCACCACGGTTCCACTCTCCCCACTGTCTCCACGGACCCAACCACTGCCTATCCCCACTGTCCCCACTGTCCCACTGACTCCTCCGCTGTCCCACTGAGCTGTCCCACTGTTTCCACCACCACTGTCCCCACCACTGTCCCCACTGTACCTCTGTCCCATTGTCCCACCGCCGTCCTCGCCACCGCCTTTACCAGTGTCTCCACCACCATTGTACCCTCCACTGTCCCAGTGTTTCCACCTCATTCCCACTGTCCCCACACCACTGTCCCCACCACCACCGTTCCCACCACTGTCCACTGTCCCCCCTGTTCCCACCATTGTCCCCACCACTGTCCCCACCACTACCGTCCCCACCACTGTCCCACTGTCCCCCCACTGTCCCCACCACTGTCCCGCTGTCCCCTCACCACTGTCCCCACCAACACCGTCCCCACCACTGTCCGCACCCCCACTCGGTTTTCGAGGGGGGGGGGGGGGTTCGAACCGGTAGTGACCCCCCCCCCCTTTCATGATGAGCAGGGGGGGGGGGGGGGGAGAGGGGTTCGAACCGGTATAGTGACCCCCCCCGGTTTTCCGGAGGGAGGGGGGGGGGGAGGGGTTCGAACCGGTAGTGACCCCCCCCGGTTTTCCGCCAGCAGCGGTAGAACACGCTCTTTCAAATATATCCGTATCCGCATATTTTTGGACTCTCGGGAAAACGTGCCAAGAAACCAGAACGCGGTGGATACGGATAACACGCGGCCTCGCCACATGCCATATGTTTATCCATGCCCACTGCGTCGCGCGGGTTTCTGAGGAAGACAATCAGAAAGTCCGAGACATAGATATTGCCCGCACCTGGCCCTGAGCAAGGAAGCCGAAACTCAATACAACTGCTGCCTCCGATTCGGTCCGCCCTGCGCGCGGGCCCCAGAAGCAGGCCGTAGCTTGAGGAACTGGCAGGGGCTGGCGCGATGGTGCCTTTCTCAGAGAATGGCGCTTCCGCACCAGACCAGGAGACCTCGTGGGAGGAGGCGGAGGAGCAGTACCGGAGAAAGAGGAGGAGAAGGAGGAGGAGGAGGTGGAGAAAAATGAGGACGAGGAGGAGGAGGAAGAGGAGGAGGAGGAGGAGGAGGAGGAGGCTGAGGATGGGGAGGAGGGAAGGAGTAAGGAGGAGGGAGGAGGAGAGGAGGGGAGGAGAGGAGGAGAAGGAGGAGAGGGAGTGGAGGAGAAGGAGGAGGAGGAGGTTGGAGGAAGGGAGGATGAGGAAGGAGGAGAGAAGGAGGAATATGAAGAGGAGGAGGAGGAGGGAGGATGAGGAGGAGGAGGAGGAGGAGGCAAGAGGAGGCAAAAGAGAGAGGAGGAGGAGGAGGAGGAGGAGGAGGAGGAAGAGGAGGAGGGGGGCGGGGGAGGAGGAGAGGAGGAGGAGGAGGAGAGGAAAACAAATGAGGAGGAGCGGGAGGAGGAAGAGAAGGAGGAGGAGGAGGAACAGTGCAACCCCAAGACTCATCAGCGATGTTCAAATACACCCTGGGGAGGAGGAGGAGGAGAGAAGGAAGAAGGGAGGAGGACGAGGAGGAGGAGGAGGAAGAAGAGGAGGAGAGGAAGGAGGAGGAGGAGGAGGAGGAGGAGAGGAGGAGGAGGAGGAGGAAGGAGGAGGAAGAGGAGGAGCGGGGGCGGGGGGAGGAGGAGGAGGAGGAGGAGGAGGAGAGGGAGGAGGAAGGAGGAGAAAGAGGAGGAGGAGGAGAGGAGGAGGAGGAGGAGGAGGAGGAGGAGGCGGACGAGGAGGCGGGGGCGGGGGAGGAGGAGGAGGAGGAGGTGAATGAAGAGGAAGAGGAGGAATAGGACGAGGGGGAGGGGGAAGAGGAGGAGGAGGAGGAAAAGGAGGAAGAAGAGGAGGAGAGTTGAAAGAGGTGGAGGAGGAGGGGGAGGAGGGTACTGAGGGCACTGACAACACGGGCACGTGATGGTGCCCATCGCCACACGGCGCATTTAGAGCTTAACCGCTACCGATGAGCTCGGGTGCCTCCGTCTGAAACCTCTGGCAGGACCTCTCCCACTGCGCAAGATCACCAGGCGAGGCGAAACCATGCAACTTGGCGACTGAGACAGCCTGAAGGCACCGAAAGCGAAGCAGGCGAGAACTCCCCCCCGCACCAGATCCTCTGGAATCCGGTCTTCCGTGGCTGCCAGCCGATCCTTGTCCTTCTACAGACTCGCTGTCAGGGCTCCCCTCAACAACAGCAGCAGCAGAGCCCCCACCAGCGTCAAGCAGAGGACCACGAACAGCTTTCATTGCAATGGTCGGACCACAGGCAGGGCTCACCCTGGCTTTGCCATGAGCGTGCCCTGGGAACAACGCCCGCTTCAACTTCGACCGCTGGGTCTTGAGGCCAGGATGCTTGGAACCCTTACGCTCCTCCCTGAGACCTCGCGCCGACGTGTGCGCAGAGGCTCCACAAACTTTGCAAAACAACATATAGTTTAAGTCCTAGCCCTGGTCGGTGACCGAGGCTTGCACTAGTGAGTGGCCCCCGACAACCCAGGGAACACCAGAGGCAGAGACAACGGAAACGCGGACTTCCCCTGATTCAGCAGACCCAGTCACAGTGGGCGGAGGGGGGAGGCCACAGCCCCCGCAGCCAAGGCCCAATCCCCGAAAGGCGCCACACCTTCATCTAAACAGGCCTGAAGTGGACCAGGGGGTAAATCAGCATCCAAAACAATGCCCGCAGTACCTGCAAGATCCTGCGGGTCTGGCTGCTCTAACTCTCCAAAAACTTCTGGGCACCTGCCCTGCCACTTGACAATGTACGAGGCAAGTTTTTCACAACCCGAGACAAAATCAAGGTGATCTGGAGAAACGTCCCAGAGGCGGGCTCCTCTCTTGGCCCACTGATTATCAAGAGCGTTACCTTTGATCAGCTATTCCTCATGATCCGAGGTGGCGGCGCCTAGGCTCCTGTGGGCCTCGGCTTTACAATCAGTGGCCATTCTGCCGATGCCACTCCACCAATCTCCCCACATGTGACGACGAAGGTTAGAGGCTGAGAGGGCAATGCTGGAATCTGTCGCACAACCTAGCGTGTCTGAACAATCCGTGTGGACAACCAGCGGGTTGTCAGTAGGCCGTTCGCTGAGTTGAGAGAGCATCCTGAACCCCGTTCTCCCCGTCCCGAGCCGCCTGTCTTGGGGCCGCGTGGAGCGGCACCGCGCCGTACATGGCGCCGATCGAGCTGCCAACTGGGTCGATCTGGATGACCGACCATCCTGCACGACTGAAGCCCTGGAGGTGGGAATGGAACGCCGAGCCGTCTACGACCCGAAAACTGCCACCCTGGGAAAACACATACAAACCTGAGCTGCTCCTCCTGAGGAACCTCTGTGCAAGGGAAGCAGAGAGACGGGGAGGGGAAGAGGCATCTGGCCATGAGCTCACCAGCTTCCTCCCCGATCTGCTTCACATACTGAGCGGCCTGCATGACATGCTGAGGGCACTCCTCTCGCCTGACCTGGAGGCACCTGGGGCAATCGTAAAAGCGATGCCACAAGGTGCCTCTCGTGCCACAATGAACGCAAGCACCTGACTGAGCCTTACCCCTAGAAAGCAACCGAGCTTGAGGCCAATGGGATCCACCGGCCAGGCTCCGAATGGCAGCAGCACGATGCTGCGACCAGCTGTCATCAAAGTCCCTATTGATGAGGCGAGCGAGGAGGGGCCAGTTGAGGGGGGAGACCCAGGGGGATTGGAGGCTTTCCAACGCCACGATGTCAGAAGCCTGGAGTGCCAGAGGCCTGACAAGATCAACAAAGAATGCAGGAGAGAAGTCAGCAATATTGAACTCCCCTAGCCTGGGATGCCAGAGCACATCGGCAGAGGGCAAGGTGCTACCTATCCTGGCGAGAGACAAAACTGCAGCCTGGGACGGGTCGACAACTTGTGACCAAGGCCTTTCTTTTTCCAGCACACAATGCGTTTCCTGCAGGCAAACCTGGAGTGGACCAAGCCCTGGCAAGACAGATTGTACACTCAATGCCCAATGCTTGAACACATCACAGACCACAACAACCCAGGGTTCTCTGGTGGCCCCTCTGGGGGTGACACGCAACCTGAAAGCAACCGAGGTACCTGGAGGAGCCCGTCCTTCCCCTCTGAGAGTGGCTAGCCTGAGAGCAGCAAGCTTCATGTCAGCTATGCCCGTGACCGCCGCCCCCCACACCGCCGTCGCCGTATGAGAGCCCCTCATGATCGTGCTGACGCTTGCCCCCGATTTCCTCAGGGCAAAAACACGCGATGATACCGAGGCTGCTGTGGCCGTCCGTTTGTTTTGCTCCGTGACACTTCGCGCAGCAC